CACCCACCGTCCTTCTTCCTCGTCCACCGCCCAATGGACTATCTCAAACCTGGAATCGAGGGGTACCCAAACCGCCACTCCCGCTGAGCCCAGTCTAGGGGCATAGGCTGTTACTGCCGTGTAGGGCCAGACCATCTTGTGGGCTCTGTTATGTCCTGGTTTATCCTGCAGGTGAGTCTCCTGCACACATATCACATCTGGCCATTATCGCCCCCCCACCCCTCTAAGTTGATCCCAAATGGCCTGACGTTTTTCTGGATTGTAGGTCGCCAGGCCGTTTACATTGATAGAACGGAGATCAAGGTATGCCGTTCTCACACATTGTTTTCATGTTGGGTTTCTACAATATAGCGTATCTAGGTCAGTCATTTGTTGATGTCATTTGTGATATGTTCACAAGGGGTGCCATTTTTTGGTGTCCCATGTGTCTAGAAGCAGAACTTTCTTCCGCAGGATTCTACACAGGCATCTGCACACATCATCTTCAGACCAGTATTCCCCGGACTTTACCTTTGCACACTGTAGGTCAAGCAGTGCAGTGTGACTGAACCAGCGCAGATCGACCGTTTTATTGGGTTCAAACAATAGATACAGGTTGTTCTTCACCATCTGCATGTCACAGTCCGCAAAGCTTAACCCCCCCCTCGCCCCTGGTGCATAGTGTCTGGGCACAAAGACTTGCATTTGGGCCGTGAAGGTTCTGTCCCTTTCTTTAATGTCTGGGGTCTGATCCGGGAAGTCCCACCCTTGCAGCGTCACCCCGCCATGCTCCCCTATCGGGGAAAGTCCAATCTCCCATTTTCCATCTGCTTTGCACATAGGGAGTACTACTATGCCGTTTGTAATAGTGAGGGGCAACTCGAAAAGACCCCGTTCTATGAGTTGTCGCAGCTTGAGGCTTCTGGAGGTCATCCCTTCCTCCCCCTCCTCCCCTTGTGTGGCCCCCCTTGCACCAGGTGCAGGGGTGGAGGCGTGTTGAGGATGCGCATTTGCTGGGACGGGTGGAGGGCGAAATCGGCTGCGGGCGATGGCCAGAATTCTCTGGAAGCTCTCTGCCCATGTCAAGTGGGCCGGGGGGCCGGTTGTCAGCGCCGCCCTGAGTGTTGGACTGTTGTTTAAGAGGGTTACCAGTTCCACGTACGACGCGTCCCAGTATTCATCCCCTCCCGTCGCCCCTTCCTTAGCAGTCTCCGACCGTAGATGTTTAATAATCCAATCCGTGATTATCTGGATCTTCTGATCCAGGTCCTTTTCCTAAGGGGGGGCGTCCGGGTCTGTTTGGCTATCCATCATTTCAACGTCTAGCGGAGGAGGGGAGAAGGTATCTATGTCCATTTGCCGGGCTCCGAAGGCGTCTGAGAAGAAATCCGACGTATGATGTTTGTGTTCGGCCTGCGCGGACTGTGTGTGTAGCGGGCTATTCTCTTCTAAATTATGCTGCCCTGCCTGTCGTTATGATGTCAGTGTCAATTGTTGTGGCTGCTGTGGCTGCTTCGCCCTTGCCTGCTGTTTCAATCGTAGCTGCTGCTCTGACTGTCCGTTCATAGGCCGCTCAGACCAGGCTGACGTCCGACAGACGGAGAACAGGCCGCGGACGAGTGAGCCCGAGAATCAGATCCGCCACGCACTCCCCTCCCAGGAACAGCACCAGTCAGAACAGGCGGGGCAACTTCAACAGACACGCGCACGGCCTCCCCTGGATCAGATAAACCACATACAATTAACACAGGGGGGGACGATACAACAGTCACAGCAGACGCACCAGGTGCAGCAATCAGAACAACCTTTGCACGGACGGCAAGAGGAAGTGACACAACAGCCTCACCAGCCACAATAGTCACACCAATTGCAATATGTACACCAACAAAGACCAATGTCAAATCCCCCTTCAACTCGCCGCCTTCTCCAACCTCAAGCTACCGCCCCAACATCTTATTCAGAAAAATAGTAAAAATACGGGGCAAGGGTAGTTGTTGCGGCTTCGCATGCCAAAAAAAAAAAAAAAAAAAAAA